TCAAAGAACCCAAAATTATGCTGGTGACACTGGTCTCTGAGTCAGGCACTGGTTAGCTGTCTCCTCCTGTTTCCTCCCTTGTTATGTGGAATGTTGTTAAGCTCAGGTGTCTCACTCAGCATCATGTCATATTGCTATGGTCAGGGTTGGGATACTGGCCTGAACCAGTAAGACATTTATTATGTAAATAGTTATCCTGTTCAAGCTTCCTGGGCATGTGAAAACTAATCTTCTTTCCCTTGAAAGATGAAGCATAATCACTGCTTCAGAAAACAGGTAGTACTGTGTAAGTCAAGTACTACAGTGCTATTGCCTAGTTATTACTAACTTGTTTTTTCACAAGATCTTTTTCAGTGATAAATCAATGCCTGCATTTATTTACAGTCAGATTCTTCAATTCTCTCCAGTCTGATGATACTAGGTCTTCAGGTTATAGCAGTTCACTTGCTATGTCCTCTGAGCAGGAGAGAGTGAGTTCAGGTTGAACTGTGTGGCTCCTAGAACCTACATGTCAATATAAAAACCTTGTGACAGCTTGTCATATAGCTTCTTGTGGAGAATTACATTCAAAGACAAACTGTTTTATATGTTAACGATCAAGGTAAGTACAGAAGTACAAGTTTAATGTAGGCTGTCTAGTCTCAAATATTGCCTTCACAGTTTCAAACTCTCATTTTTATATGAACTTGAATGATGTTTTTCCGTCTTCTGAGGAGGCTCATGAGCCTTTCTAGGAATTAAGGCACTTAATTGTGTTTAATAGCCTCTCAAGGACTGAATATCAATTTGCTTGAAAATATAATTAGGAAAGAATTGTTTCTTCCTGTCTCTCTAGTTAGCACCACAGACAGAAAGAATTACTTGTTTGTGACTATTGATACTTTTTCTTAATTGTTTGAACAGCCATTGTTCTGGGTTTTGCTATACAAGTCAGTATCTTGAGGCTTAAGAGCACCATAAGATGCACTGAGAAAAGTATAACAAAGAGGTGGTATCTCTTTAACTTGTATTTGCTGTCTTGTGGTGATACTGCATTATTATGAAGCTCATGGCAGAAAACCTGTTTTTCTGTTTACAAACGAATACTACATCTATTGGGAAGTTACAGAATCTCTTATGGCACAGCTTTACTGCAGACAGGGGAAGGTATGATCTAGTACTAGCCTACTGATTATACTGAAAATGAAGGAACTCGTTTTGGTATGACAGCAGGTTAGAACTAAAACACGGGAAAGAAGCGTTCTTCCTGACCTGCTTGCCTTTATTTTGCACATGGGCATAAGCATGAGTTTTGACTAGAAAAACTATTTCTTCCTCAGTTTCTTGCATAATTGTCTAAACAAAAACTTAAGAGAAGATTCTTCTTCCTCGTCCTCTTACAGAAGAGAGGTAGGTGAGTGGGAAGCATGATCTTTGCCCAAAATAAAAAGGATGGGAAACTAGGCCTTGAGTGGTGAAGTTACTTAACCTGATGAAAGAATATATTAAACTTGGTTATGTTCTTCTGTTGCTTTAACTATAGCTACTAGTTCACTCAATGTAGCTGTGAAGAAGTAGAATATTTATTGTTTAAAAGAGGTGCTGAAAGTAGCTCATAAATACACTTTTATGTATGGTCATACTTAAGTTCATTTCTCCTGCGTGAGGATATTGTCCAAAGCATAGCTGGCTAGGAAGACCTCGGGAGGAACTAATCTGTGCGTTAGGAAATGGTTGGGCTTGTGTTAGAAGAGCAACCTCTGCAAAGTCCTGCCTCTGACTGCTCTGATAGCTGCTGTCTTTTGCATCAAGAGTGAGACTTCAGAGAAGCTAGTGAAGAAGGCTACACAAACTTCCTTTTATGTCAAGCAGTATCAAGTCTGGTATTAATGCAAGTAGTTGCCTTCAAACTAGTTGATCATAATTGTGATAAGCCTCTGAAGCCATATGTTGACTCGTAGGACTGAAGTGATAAACCAACGTTCAAGCTACCTAGCCCTTTCTTTTGTAAGCTGTAGTACCTGTGGAAGGCACTAATTCTAGCTGTCTGTTTCTGGCAGGCTTGGCTGTGTTTCTCTCCTGTGAATGCAAGGTAGCTGGTATGGCTTATTCTCTCCAAACCCTTCCAGACTCCAAAAGCTCTCTGGGTTGCTGTGTGGAAATGCATTATTACCCTATTGTCAGCATGTATTACAGAATTGTAGGTATTTGGACCTGTTCTTTGCAACAGCATCCTTAGAAATAAAGCTTTATCTTAAGTTTAGAATCAAACACCAAGGAGTATCAATCATTACTAACTAGAATAGTTCTGAATGTGCACTGTTAACTTCAGGAGCTTCAAGATGCGATACTGTGATAGAATTGGATGGACTCTGAAGCTAATAGAGAGCTCTCATTGTTCATGGCTGATGAAAACCTGATGATAGCGGTAACAATATTTAGGCTTTTTCTGTGGGAAGTCGGGTATGAAATGACATGTTTCTGTGGACAAAGAAATCTGATACACAGTTAGCATTGATTACTGATATGAAGGCTGGCAAGCACATAGTTTTTCTAGACTTCATACTGAGTTACACAAGTGAAGACTGTAGAGCTGAAAAAAGAGAATGGTTGTCTGTTGGTCTGTTTCCAGTTAGCATACTTGTATTGGCGTATGACAGCATGCTGGTGCAGTGCCATTTCCTCTTCTGCTTGCAGTATGCTTAGTCAGCATGCTGACTCTGCATCTTAATCACAAGTTCTAGGGAGCCCAAAACAGATGGGAAGCTTGTTTTAATACTTCTAATGCATCTGACCTGAGTGCCCTCTGGAAACACTTAGCTCTGTGCTAGTTAGTGGCTGTTTTTATGCAGAAGAAAAGCAGCCCGAAGACAAACACATCTGTTTTATTGCAACTGCAGCTCTCAGCAATGTTGTTGTTCCTTCTACCTCAGCAGACTACCAGCCTGAGTACTGAAGACCTTAGTGAGTGGGGTTTTTTGTTATTGTAAGAAAACCTAAGCATTTTATCACAGTTCCTGGAAGAATCTTCAGGAATTATTAGCCATCTCACCTAGCTGGTGAGTCACTGCTTTCCAAGCTGTGTCTCATGAAACGACCGCCTTCCTTGCGGAGATGAGAATTACATATATTTAAAGGCTAGCCTGCCAGTGTTGCTTCAGAGAGAATAATGCTGGAGTTGAAGTAGGAAGCTGTCAAACTTGGCACCACAGAAGGTAGCAGAAAGGTGACTTTGCTAGGAATGTTAGCTGTATCTTTTGAACTGATTAGGAATTAGAAGGTAACCAAACAGGATAAGAATTACTGAGTGTTTGCTGCAGAACTGTTAATCTTCCAAGTGGAGGCTAAAACTGTGAGAGTCATGCTCCTTAACTTCCCAACAGTTGTCTAGCAGTCAGCTTTTAAAACAAGGAGGAGAAAATAGGAGTAATTTTTGAACACTGTAGCAGCTTCTCAGCAGTATCATCTCTGCTGTTTGTGTAGCCTGAAGCATGATCTCATGATGAAGAAATGACCTTGTATTACTGCAGAATAATGGCTCACTTGGTTTCTTGTGCCTATCTGGAAAAGTGCAGAGACAGGAAGTGACCCTGGAGGGTATCAGGTAACACTGATGTGCATAATGCCCACATTAGATTCTCTAGTAAAGCTTTCCATACAAGTTACTGAAATCAGTAAATCTGGCTGTTCTGTCTTTTCTCAAATGGCTAAACTACTACTACTACTTCTTTACAGATGCTGTTGATGGTGTGGTTAATGGAGATGTCTGTCAGGTAAGATAGAAGTATTCTGTACTTCAAATGTGTTGTTCTGCTCTGAGAACTTTAATCTAGACTAATATTTCCCATTTGTTTTCTCTAATGTGCTGTTATCTCATCTCTGAAGCGGAAAATCTATTCTGATAGCTCCTTTCATAAAGCTGTTAATGCTCTTAATATGCCCCCCCTCTGAACTTAGAGGCAACTTAAAGTAGCAGTCCATTTTAAATTATGGCTTAATAGGGCATAATCACTGTAATCACAGTGACAGGCTCTGTGATATGACTTAATGTTAACTTGCCACTACCTAGTAAGATGAAAGCATGCTCTGACTGCCTAGTTTAAAGCAGTTTTCTGAATTGATTGTTCTTTAAGGATAATTCATGTGTCCTGGTTGTCTTATCAAGATTGGGTTTACAAGGACCTGACTGAAAACATTGTACTACTACTTAGTGACATAAAGTTGCATGAAGTTAAGCTGGTGGCTAAATAGCTTGATCGTATTATGAAAGCATACTAGTCAGTCATGGCAATGAGAAAAAGAGGAGATACCCGATTTATTAGTGTCAGGGAAGAATGAGGCTTGCTATGGCAATCACTGTGTTGTAACTAAATTTCACACCAGTTTGCCTAAGGCATTGTCATTGCCTGGTATCAGAGCTGGCTGGATAGCACTGATTACATGAATGCTTGGGAAGGGGTCAGTGTATGAGCTACTTCTCCATAGAATTGTAAGTGAACACAGAGCTTTGTGGAGATGCAGCCAGCTTTCGCTGCTGCTAACATTTTTATATACTCACCGTTGCTGTGAGGTGAATGGAAGAACTGTATCCTAATGGCCCTTTGTGCTTCTTTATACAACAGAAAGTAGGTGAAATATCTTGATTTTGTGTTTGCAATTCTAAGTGACCAACTGCCTTGGTTGATAGAGCTTTCTCTTAATGAGGAAGAACAGACTGAATGGGTTATATGTAACTTTTGTTTTAGCTACCCTCAACTAGTTTGGCCCTGAAACTGGCCAATTTATTTTGATTTTGATTGAATGTGAAGTCTGGTGCAGTTGTACCAGCCTAGCTCCTTCTCTCTGCATTATTCATTCACTGAGGGCTACAGGAGGCCCAAAGAGGGGAAAGACACAACCAAATCTGTCACTAGCTTCCATCCATCTGGTACTGTCAAGAGTCGTATTTCTTAGATCTGTTAAGAGTAGAGTGATCCAATAAAAGTTGTTGGACTGGGAGTATCCTTTGCAGCAAATAGCACAATATTCATTAGCTTTGGTAATCTGGTGTATTAATGGTAGCTCTATACATTGCAAGTCTTTGAGCTGTTGTATAGTAAAAAGTATTCTAGTACTCAAACTGTTTTGATGCTTAAATGTTGAAATGCTTCTTGTGTTCTAAGCTGCATGCAGCAATTCAAATTCTGTTCCGTCTTTAAAAGACACTGGCTTTTAATAACAGTTAAGTTTGCAAATGTCTCTGAAGTAGACAAATAAGTTAGAAGTTTTGAACCCTAGGAACAAAACCATATAAAAGCCTCCCTACTTTAACAGGAAATATTTAAGGTGAACTGAACTGGAAGATCTCTAGACCTACAACTGCATAAAAAGGTGCTAGGCATTTTCTCCTGCTTTCTTCAGGTGCAGAGCTCTGGCACATTTTGACTTCTCAGTCAACTTGAATTTGTGTTTGGTCCCTGATTGCTAGAGGCAGTCATGTATTAATTTGCTTCAGTCCTGCTGTGATTTGTGGCAAGACCTTTTTCTGTTAATGATAGAAATACGGTATAACGTAAGCTGAAAGAGTTATGTGCTCAGTTCAAATAGAGTCCTAATTTTATTTAGCTTGCAGGCAGTTATCTGAAATATTCAGTAGACAAGTATAAATGACATTACTATTCCTTCCCTTTATGAAGAGTAATGGTACAATAGACTCCTGTGCTGCCATATCCCAAGTGGATCCACTACAGTCAGAACCAGAGAGTATTTGTAAGTGGAGAGAGGAGCAAAAGGAGCGCCTGGAGCAACTTGGTAAGGAGCATGTTTGTTGCAGTAGTGTTCTTTCTTGTGAGTAACTTAGTGGCAGATTCTTAAGCAGCAGAATTCTCAACCATGGCTTCTGGCTCTTGGGGATCTACCATGCATGAGTTTGAGCAGCAAGTCTGGATGAGTCCAGTAAGCAGACTTAACAGGTGCAGAGTCAGCAAGCAAGTGGCTCTCTGAACCTTAAGAGTATTCACATGGCCCGCCCTTTACTTACAAATAAGCTGACAGAAAATGAACGGCTTTGTTAAACAGAAAAGAGTATAAAAATACTGCAGCAATTGGCACTTTTTTCAAAGGATAAAGATTGCTGAGGCCATCTGTTGTCAGCTGGATCTTATTCTAATAGCTAAGTAATAGACTAGTAACTAAACTAAATACAGCTATCAAATGCAGTCATACCTACCTGTGCACAGGTTCTAAAAGCCTGCAAACTGGTATGCTTTCCACTTACATGAGGGGGGAGGCTTTGCTTGAAATTGTTTGGACAGAACCTCTGTACAGTGTGATTCTGGGTAGACCTGAGTCATATTGCTCCTCTTCTGGGTTAGTTAAAGTGGATGAGCTAGTGTTCTAGCACTAGTATAGCAAGGTGACTGTTGCTGGGATTTTTTTACAGTTTGCAGGCCAACAGGCTTACTGAATCTGAACTAGTATACAAATGCCTATCCTAAACTGAAGTGGACTGTTCCATTTATGCAGTGTAGGCATTCTGTTTAGCTAATCCTCTTAATATTCATGGTATTGAGAGTTCTCATGGCCTAAATCAGGCCTAACCTGATCTGAGTAGATAAGCAACTGTCTACACTAGAGTGCACCCTGAGCCATCAGCTGAAATGTTAGCAAAATCTATCTAGAATAGACTGACAAATCAGTTCTTAAATCTTCAGATGCAAACTCACGAAAGCAGGAAGCAGAATGGAAGGAGAAAGCAATAAAGGAGTTGGAGGAGTGGTATGCAAGGCAAGATGAAAAGCTCCAGAAAACAAAAGCAAGCAACAGGTAAGGTTTCTTCAGACATCTGAAGAGTTATTGTACTGGATATAAAAGTCATGGGGGAGAGAGGTTAGAATACTTCTAGTATATCATAAGGCACTTGTCCTTCAGATCATTAAAGTAACCTCTCCTACTAAGAAATGGGCCTCCAGGGATAGACTGTCGTTTTCAGTTTTCTTAAAATCTAGGTTAAATGTCCAAGAATATAAAGATAAAGCATTAAGATAATGAATCAAAATTACTGAAGATTCCTTAAGACCCAAAGTTTGAACATGGCCAGAAGAAGTTTTAGCCACTTGTTTGCATGCTGCTATCTGCACAGGTCTTCAGTGACCGTAGTTACCTACTTTGAGACTAGCCATCTTACTTGCTATCTTTAGAACATATGGAAGTGGCCTTTTAGTTAGTCTTTTTTACAAGGTATTTCACTAGATATCTTAAAAACTTTGGCTGCTCCTTTTGGAAGTGTTTGCGAAATAACCTGAGTCATTTCTGCTAGTGAAGAACTAAATGTGGGCTATATTTGTGTTGGGTTTGAATTCTTTAATTATGAGCCCTGGGGCAGAAACTAATGGCTTGGCTGTTAGTCTAGTAAGCTCTTACACTTTCTCAGAGTTTCACTGTGGAATTTTGACTTCAAGCTACATAAAGGTAAATTTGTTAGTACTGACTTAATACCACTTAGATCTCCACTTCTGACCTAGGATTGCCAGTGTAATTCTGCCCAGATAGTCATCAGGGCTACTTTATACTTCGTGAACCCATGGACTTCAAGATGAACTGTTTTTTTTGAAACACCATGTTTCTTATCAAAATGGCCAGTAGGTTTATCTTGAGTAAGTAGAGTCCTAGGTAGACTCTACTTTTTACTAAAGGTAAAAAGGAGGCCTACACTGCCAACATAATTAAGGATTTGACACTTGCATTCATTGAGATACAGTCTTTTGGTTGGACCAAGGAAGGGAAACAAGTGGTCTTCTAGTTGGTGGCCAGAGCTCATGGCACCTCTGTAGCTTTATTATGGCCAGTGTTTGAGGTGCAGGGTATGCATTCTAGAGTAGGGTCCATTTAACAAGTGTTGCACAGAAGGAGCATTTGGCCTTCTCATCAGCTTAGTGAGATCTCTCTCCTAATTCTATTTTCTGTCCACTGGAAGTAGCCTAATGCTAACACTAGGACTCTAAACCTAAACTAGTTGGTCTCAACTTCTAGGATATAGCAGAGCTTTTGTGTTGCCCCTCTGAGCCAATGGCTTCATTGATATATTCTATGTGTTAGCTGTTTTCCTGTTACAGTAAGTCTAGGTGAGACAAGGTTAATATGCTTGTAAAAACTGCCTTTGGCTGTGTTCTGTACTTCTCATCCTTATCTCTTTTCTCCTGCCTGCTTGCCTGCCTGTTGGACTACTTGCTACCTAGGGTGGCAGATGAAGCTTTCTACAAACAACCCTTCGCTGATGTGATTGGTTATGTGTATGTTGCTTAACTACTAATTCTGTTTGCTAGTCAACTAGGTCATGAGGAGGATCACAAATAGTGCTGAATGTCTGAAGGTGACTTCTGAATATTTCAGGGCAGTATAAGGTAATACAAGTAAATAGCCTGTGCTTTTTGGACTGACTCTGATCTGCGATCTTAAGTGCAGTTTTCCTGTAAGGATTCCATATGCCGCATAACATCCAGTACTTTCAGATTAAGTCATGTAGTATACATAGAAACTGAAACTGGGTAATGATTTCAGCCATCTTTAGATGTAGAGGTTTACAGTGGTTTTCAGGCCAGTGAACACTGCTTAGCAAGATGCTTTGCTGGGTATGTAGGTTAGTGTCTGCAGTCGCACATAGGTGCTGTGTGTAGTCACTTCCACAGAAGCACAGTATTTAACTCTGCATTCTCTGCAGTAGTTATTGAGCTCTTGATCTGTTCTCAGTTTGTCTACATAATCAGAAAAATATTCAAGCAGTCTTTGCACATAAAGCTCTGCAAGCCAAGAAAGGTTGAAAGGCATCACCTGCCATAAATCAGGGTAGAAGAGGTACATTAATATAGAATTAGGATGCTATTAGAGAACAGATGATAAGTATAAGAAGGTGGTATTGGAAAATCAGCATTAACTGCTGGGAGAACATTTAGGATAAGCTCTGTGTAGACATTTTGCCAGCCTAATGTACCAGTGAGAATACAGCAATGGCTTTCAAGCCCCAATGAGTATGCTAGTTTCTTCAGGGTGGAAGGATTGCAATGTTTACTGACTTGTTCATGTGCTTTAATTTCTTCCCTTAATGTGTAGACTTGAATTGAAAGATGGCCATGTCACAGATTCTGAAGTGACACCTTTAAAAGGTGTATTGGTGAGCCGTGGTGGGGCTTTGAGTGCATTAGTATTCAAGGTCCAGGGTGGAATTCATTACCTAACTGTAGGTGGATGTAAACAAGACTTGTGAAATGATGGATTTGCAGGTGTTTTTTGACTTTTCTGAAGTCTTCTGGAGTTGATTTTGATAATTCTTTTAGTATATTTGCATTTCATATGTTGAATGCAAATATGCACTATAAGTGCTACAGAATAAAGTTGGTAACCTGTTTCCTGAATAGGCTAAGCTATTAATGTATGTTCAGCCAACTGCTCATCTGCATTAAACTCATTCTCATTTTCTATACCTGACTTAAACTTTATCTCATTTCTTTTCTTCTCTTCACCTTTAAGCACAAACATAAATCATCCTTGCTACAACCTAGAACAGTTAAGTAAAAAAAAAATCTTTGCTGCCCCTTAAGTGTCATGTCACATAAAGTAGCAGTCTTGTAGTGACCTTTGTCTTCAGTGGTGTCTGTAACCTTATCCCTGTGAACAGTGTTGAACCCTCATGGGAGAGTCATCTTCACTGCTTTTTCTGTACTGCTTGTTGGAGTAGATGGATTTGGTTTGATGCTTACTGCTCTTGCACTCAGGCAGCTACCAGGGCTCCACAATTTATGTAAACTAGATGCTGGAATTTTATCCATGCATTGAAGCAATGCCATTGGCAGCATAGCAATGCCAAAAGGATGCTGCTGGGATGCCACTGGCAGTAACCTGTAAATAATGTAACAAGCCTCCTTAGAGTCTCCTTAGGGTGAGAGAAGGAGAAATGTGTTTGTCCTGTGAGCTGACCTCAGACAAGTCATCCCCTCTGACAAGATATTCTTCAGTCTATAGCACCCAGAAGCACGGGATTCATGGCTTAAATTCCTTTTGATTCATGCTGCTTCACTACAGCATTGGGAATTATCAGCAGATAGTTTTATGATGGTCTGTAGGCCTTGGGGCTGATTTGAATCCTCAAATGGAATCTGTTTTAAGACATGCTTGCAGGGAGTTGTAAATTTCCAGTTGGCAAGTGTCCAGTAAGAGCTATCCAGTGGCAGAAGCTTAACTAGTTAATACTTGGGCATTTCTCCATAAATTAAATGCCTACATAGGAGTACCTTACTTCCTGGCAGTTTGCATGGTGACTCCTTAGGCAAAGACTCGATAACTATTCTTAAAACCAACCACCTGTATTCCAACATTTTACACACCAATCCTCTGCATATGCTTGTGCATAGCATACTACTGCAACCTGCTTCCAATCTCCAGGGTTGGGGTGGTGGGAACTTAAGTAGCCATAATGTCCACAAGCAGCTGTCAGGTCACATTTCTTATGAAACATGCTGAAAGAAGCTGCATCCTGGAAGAGGGAAGGAGTGCCTTATATGTTGGGCATTAACACAAGGTGCCTTGCATTGCTTTTAGGGCAGCTGAAGAAGCCTTTGTGAATGATGCAGAAGACATTTTTCCAGGCACTGAGTGGGAACGTGTGGCTCAGCTCTGTGACTTTAATCCCAAGTCTAGTAAGCAGGCAAAAGATGTGTCCCGCATGCGTTCAGTCCTCATCTCACTCAAGCAGGCTCCACTGGTTCGCTGAAGGAAAGCACAATGGAAACACTACAAATGCAATATCTTAACCTTACTCAGAGAAGCAATGTTTGCAGTAATTGTATTAATTGTTTCAATGTTTTTTGGACAAAACCTCATGATGTATCTTGAGCTGATCATTGTTTGATTGCATGTCTCTGTCTGAAATGGGAGAACCCCAAAAAATGTAGCCTCTGTGCTATTGTGCACTGAGATTTCACTTCCCACATTACTGATATTAAAGATCTGTTAAACAGCAAAATGTGTTGACTTTGGATGAATTAAGAAGCTCTCATGCTCCCTTTTGACAAAGGGTGTTTGAATTAAGTGTGAGCACACATTACTCTTAACTGTTAGTGATTTCACCTTGCTGGTGACTGGCAAGCCAGCAATGCTTCTGGTCTCTGGAGAGGCTGTCCTGCTTGTCTTCATAAGCTTTCTTAAAGCTCTTGGGAGCTTTAGTTTAAAAACTGCTTCCCTATCCAATTTATCACACAAGATAGAAGCTCTAGGAAACTGGAGCAGCAGGCTTGTTAAGGAGCTTATCTCACTTCTGGTGGAACTGAGGACACTGCCTTCTGCAGGTAAGGAGTTCTGTGTAGTTTTCTGCTGTCACTCCAGCTGCAGATCTTAGGCTAGAAATACAGTACAGGGCACTTTTCTAAAGGTACAAAGCCTTTGATATTCTACTGCATGTGCTATTCTGCTATGTATTCAACACTGGCTTAATATACAAAGTCCTGTTGTGCAGAGGCTGTTTGGGTGTTTTTGAACTGCATCCTTGTCCTTACTGACTCTTGCAGACACACTACCACCAGGGTAGTAGAGTGGAGATTTGGAGAGCAAGAGAAAGGAAGACTTGCTCTTACTGCTGCTTGTCTGCTGGGTTGGAGTTCTGTCTGCTAAGGTGGTTGAATTTCAAACAAACCGATTAAAAAAAAAAAAAAAAATCTGTTTTGCTACTTCCTTGGCACTCTAATCTCACTCAGCATTCATAGGGCTGTATTCTAGCCTTGCTCTATTAAGACTTACCTTAGCTGTCTGTCTTGTAAGAATGGTCTGTTCAGTCTCATACATTATTTCACTATTTTTATCAAAGATACAGTAGCTTAACTAGTGTAGCAGAATTGCTTTAATACCTTTAGTATACAAGCTGGAAGGTTAGTCCAGACAGTTTGAAGAGGGCTGCAGATGCAGATTAAAATTTACTAAAGTTCAGAGGGTTGCTGCACAGCAACCATGTTACAGCAGTTGTGTCCCTTTGGTGGATGAGGTACTGAATAAATGATTGCCAGTTGGACTTCAATAGTTAAGCTGTATCTTACTGTTGTGTATAGTGACTGGAGCTATTCTCTTGTTTGCAAGTGTGTTCACAAGCTACTGATGAATAGTGATGAAAATACAGGTCTGAAGATTAAAGAGGAAAGTATGTTCTGAACTGCACAAGAGTACCACAGGTGAGTTAAATAGGACTGAAGCACAGAGCAAGTCTGTAGAATACTGATATGCAGTGCTGGCCTTGACAAATTATGCATTCACTTTGAAAACTTCCTTTCTTCTACTCACCCCAAAGCTCTACAAACAAAGGCTTCTAAGATGAATTGGTAATTTAATAAAGAAAACTACACTACATTAAATATACAGTATTTAAAATGTTAATTTTAACTTACTGGAATTTGAATGATCAGCAGATCTTAGAGGGGTTCCTGCACACTGAATTACGGAGCCAATTTATCACTACATTGTCATAACTCATAGGACATATTATCTGTGCTAAGGGTATTGGTTTGAATTGCGATCCAAGAAAATGGGCAAAGACTCCTAAATTCAAGACCAAAGTGATATTATAGAAGTTAAAGCACTGTTTTACAAGCTGGGTTTTCAGGGGCTAACAATATGTCTGCAGTTTCTTTAGTGTTCACCATCTAGGTGGAACACTTTAACAAGCAGCTCTGTGGGTTTTGCTTACCTCCTAGTTCTTTGTGCTGAGATTTTGTATTCTCTCTTCTGCCTTAATTTTATACTCAAGTATGCTAGCTCACTGTCTCTCTCCTACCTCCTATATCTCTGTTGTTACAGAATCACAGAAAGGCTGAGGTTGGAAGGGACCTCTGGAGGTCATCTGGTTCAACCTACCTGCTCAAGCAGGGCCACCTGGAGCTGGTTGCCTAGGCCCATGTCCAGATGGCTTTTGAAGATCTCCAGGGAGGGAGACTCCACCATCTCTCTGGGCAACATGTGCCAGTACTCGGTCACCTTCAGAGTGAAAAAGTGTTTCATGACATTCAGGAGGAACTTCCCATGTTTCAGTTTGTGCCCATCACCCCATATCCTGTCACTTGGCACCACTGAAAAGAGCCTGGCTCTCTTGTCTTTGTACCTGCCCTCCATGTATTTATACACATTGCTGAGATCCCCCTGAGCCTTCTCTTCTCCAGGCTGTACACTCCCAGCTCTCTCAACCTTTCCTCGTAGGAGAGATGCTGTAGTTGTTTAAGCAACTTTCTGGCCTTTTGTGGGACTTTCTCCAGTACATCTGTGTTTCTCTTGTGCTGGGGAGCCCAGAACTGGACACAGCATTCCAGGTGTGGCTTCACCAGTGCTAAGTAGCAGCCTTCCCAGTGGTGTGGCCTCACCAGTGCTCTACTGAGACTTTCAGTGTCTGAGAATGATTTTAGATACTTGGATCTTGTTGCATTGATCAAAAGAATACTCGGCTTTATTTGGGCAAATCTAAGCCCTTGTGTGTGCTTGTGAACACTGACTTGTTTCCTTCAGAGATCGCAATCTGTGACTTTGTGACTTCATGTGGTAATTCTGTGCTGTATCGGGCCTAGTTGAGCATACTCATTCCTCTGTTTACTGGCCTTAACTTCTCACTGTTGCTGCTTGTCTCAATAGCATGTAGCATGTAGCTGATGCAGAAAACTGAGTCAGAGGAATCTGGAAAAGAAACTGGACGCTTCCTATCCTTCAAACAAAACCCCAGGTGCATATGCAGAAAGACCTCATGCAGCACTGAGAGAGAAGTTGCAGACTCCTGTAAAATACATCCTGGTGTAGAACTTGCTTTATAGAATCACAGAATAGTTTTGGTTGGAAAAGACCTTTAAGATTATAGAGTTCAACCAAAAGCCTAACACTGACAAATCCACCACTAAACCATGTCCCTAAGCACCTCATTTATGAATTTTTTTTTAAATACCTCCAGGAATGGCAACTCAACCACTTCCTTGGGCAGCCTGTTCCAACGCTCAATAACTCTTTCAGTGAAAAAAAATTTCCTAATATCCAATCTAAACCTTGTTTAGCGTGTGATCACATGGCAGCCAGCATCTAGTTAGTCTGAAATTATAATGAGCATTTGTAGAGAAGAAGGGGGATAGAGAGAAGGTCATGGGTTCATTAGAAAGCAGGGAACCTGAAAACAACACTGCAGCTTCATCCTCTTAGCCTGAGGAACATGCACTAACAGTTTTAAGTTGCCGTAAATCAGCATGCTATGGCTTGCCTGTTTCTGGCTGATGCTTTTTTCTGAGCAGCTGGTTAAGAGGGAAATGTATCATTTACTGGCTTATATTTTAGAATGGACAAAGTGAGTGTCTGTTGTTTTTGCCAAAAGACTATTCCTCTGGTAGGACAGATGGTATGGGGAAGTTTGCTCCTCTGCGGAACGGTGGTGCTGCAGCAGCACACAGTGGCACAGCGTGGTAGTGTACCTGGGGCTGCTCCACATGCGCAGGGTCCGGATTTTACAAGGTTACTGACAACCGAGGCCTTTGTGGTCTGACTTTGTAGGGGATGGTCCACTTAAGTATGTATGTGTGTTCTAGTCGGAGAAAGGCCGGGCTGAACAACACTGTTCAACGGGAGTGTTTCATTAGCTCTTACATCAGTAATACTGCTTTCACTGACAATTACCTATGATTACACTGTTGCAATGCCATTGGCTACAGTTACAAGCATATATTTAATGTCTTGCTTCATGTGGCTGTTTACTGGTCACAGCTGGTTACCATGTGCAGGAATATCACCCAGCTCAAGGCTGGAAGTATGGATAAGGTAAAATCTTACTAGCTTTTTAAAAAGTGCTCTATGCATATTTATCACAGGTTTGTAAAATTAAAAATAAAGGAACCTTTGGAAAAAACATCAGGATATTTCCTCAAAATTTTGCTTTAAATATAGTCTTCATACACTTCCTGTTTAATTAAGCACAGATTTAGCACTTTATTTGCATTTTAAATTTCTGTGTAATGTGCTTCATGCATATCGTATTCGAACACTTGCAGAGACAGAGTTACAGTAATTGTGATCTAATAGTACAAGCAAGGCAAAAGTAGTGCTACTTCTTTTTAGACTAATGAAAAAAAAAAAAGTGCTTTCAAGCATGCAGAGCTTTCTTCAGCTAGCAGTAACAGGCTAACAGTAATTTGTGATTTGTTAAGGGCACAGTTGATATCTCTGTGAGGTCAGAAGGAGGGTTGTGAACCGAAAAACTCCTTAATTGTGATGGCAGCAGAAAGAACTGGCTGTATTACTTGTCTTCTCATTGCCTTGCTCAATCTGTAACAGTAGTCATCTTTGTCTGATTTTTTAATACCAAACTGCAGTGGGGTAAGCAGTGGGTGGTTTGGGCACCACAGCAAAGTATACGGTTTGATCTTGTTTTGTGTGAACTTGCCAAAGGAACCAATCTGGAAGTACTACAACTGTATGTGCAAGCTTGAGGCTTAAGAAAAATTTGGCTTTCTGTGTCTTCTTCAGATCTCATGAGCATTTTTTGTTGTTATTAAAACAGATTATGTGCCCACAGGGCAAAACATCTGCTTTTGGATTATGAAAACATAGCTTGGTGCTAGAATACAACTCTACAACATAAATACATGGCTTTACCACCTATGTGCTTCAGCTGCCAAAGCACTAGGTGTAATGTGCCTTTGATAAACCACTTTCCAAACACAATTATCTGGAATGGTCCAAGGGGTGTACAGTCCAGGTATTTTACCCTTTACTAATGCCTGTAAACTCTCCATGGCATTGGAAAGGGACACAGTGATGATTCCACTGATGCAGAGTGAATCGGAGTATAAACTGCTGCACCTTGCTGTCTGTCATGTGTTTCTGTGAAACAAACTTGGCAGTGCCTCCGCTGGTACTATGTCCTGACAAGTTTGATATGCTTAAGTGGAAGAAAGACAGTGCTTCAAGGCCACCAGAAAGCTGAGGCATTTGTTAATTTTGAGTGTCTGGATGGCAGAG